GCTTAGAGAAAATTATATAGTGTGGCTCCAGAAAGTAAAACTTAGAGAGGGTGAAAGACCTCTGCTGCTGGAGAAAAGGAAAACACTCTAACTTTAGTCACTGCGAGGCCACTACAGCAGATGTACCGACTTGTAGACGGTTGGCATTAAAAAAAACAAAAACAAAAAAAACAAAGAGGAAAGGACACATTAGAAAGGAAGAGTTCCATTTGAAAAACCAACATTTATTTAGAGACATGAAAAAGCTGTCATACACGGTTTGTTATGAATCTGAATTTGTCGTTAACTGGAACTACACTGGTTAGCACTGCGTTGGTTCTCTCCAGGTACTCCAGCTTCATCCAACAGTCCAAAAACGTGCATTTTAACTGGTTAAGTGATTTGAAATTGGCATTAGGTTTAAAGCTATGTCTGTCTCCCCGTGCTACCCTCTGACAAATTGGCGACCAGTCCTTTCACTCTATGGTGACATAGTGGATAGGTGCCACACGACCCCTGGATAAGTGGATGAAAATAAAAGGATAAAATTAGAGTCCATCTTGAAAAACATTATTTTATAAATAGACAACATACGGACTGAAGATGCAGAGGTTTTTACCTGCTGTTTGCAGTGGTTCTCAAAGCAGAGAGGCGATCAAGGCGACCTTTCCATATCCACACAGTGCATGTGGTACACGCAAATCTTTATTAAAAGCACATTTACTTTTCTTGGCATTTGGGTCCAGTGTGACATCCTTTTGGCTGATTTTATTTTTTATCTTATTTTATTTATTGTCTTTGAATTTTTCTGGATTGTGTGTCATTTTTCTTGGGGCTATATACTTTTAATGTGCAGCACTTTGGTAATCTTTGTTGTTTCACATGTGATAAATAAATTTGACTTTGGTGATTTTTGTAATGACAGTTGATTTATCACTTTAATGTACAAAAACCCCCTCAGTTGTCATCTTGTGCTCATTTACTTTGATTCAATCATTCATTCATTTATGCCCTGAGTAATGCTTCATACTGAAATCCATCAGCAGATCTATTTGTTGCACATAAACTCCTCACCACTAGACTGGTGCCTTTTCTTCTCACCTCGCACGTTTCCTCTTTTAAACCTATACGACACTTACTGAGAGAGACATGAGCTGGCTGATATTTTTTTGTGCACAGCCAGTTAAATCACCAGTCAAAAGGTTGGGTGGCGTTGCTGTTGAGTTACGTGTCAAAAATCAAAACAGGCGTGGAGCATTTGTTGCAGAACAGATTAGAATTTTTAAAGCCAGACATTTCAACATGCCAAAGTAATCTTTGAGTCACTAATGTTGATTCACACCCCTGTTAAATGGCTGACTGATATATTAGCCTGTTTCTTTAAAGTGAATCCATATTGCAGACTCTTTACATTTTCTCTCTAAAAACTAATAGAAGACTTGAGCTCGGCACTGTCTAATGGACAAATCCAGGCTGAACCGCTATTAGTATTTGAAATAGATCTGTTCCTTTTGCGAGGACTCATCAATCTCCCCTGGCGTAAGAGCTGATTAGATTTGCCCCCCTCCAAAAGTGTTTCAGCTCTCCACTCCTCACAGACTTATTTAGAGCCTAACACCTGGTGAGTTGATAAAGGAGAGCTGTGAGGTTCAATCAGAAAGTTCAGTGACTCCTGAAAAGCATTTTTTGACTAAATGAAATTCCAGCTCTACGGTCGCTATTTTGACAAGTGCAAGAGGACATCCAGGATAGGGTCGGGTGTCGAATTTTCTGAAAATTTTGCAACTGTGACACCTCGAGAACACGGCGACGTTGGACTTGAATTTGATCGCATCGGATGTGAATCTGCTAAAAATCTTGGATGAGTTTGAATCTCACTGACCTCAAGGTCAAAGTAAGTTTTCTGATACTCTTGTGAATGCGATAACTTCAGAACAAAGCAACGTAGGATTTTGAAATCGATACCATAGGTGTGTCTATTAGGACTCTTAAGGGTGGCACTGGCGATTACCAGTACGGGTACAGGTCCAGAATTTTATGATTACAAAAGTGGTGATTTACCCCAACTAGTTCTGAATTAGTTGAATTAATTAGTAAAGGAAGGTAATCCATATATCTATAGATATATCTTTTTAAACGATACCAAGAATTGGTAACACTAATCAGGCTTACTGAGACTAACCAGAAAAAAATTGAAATCTCTCATTGCTCAAATCCAGAGGCTAAAGGTAAGTTTCAAACTTCTAACTGATGATATTTCAGATATATATTTCGTATTAATGTGTTAAATGTCACATTCTCAAAATGACAATGGAAAAAAGATTACATCATTGCTTCAACATCAGTATTTAAGTCCGATGACGTCAAACACTTTTCACTTTCCGCATCAGTGCTGCTCTTAACACTTCCAGACTCTTTAACCTGATCAGTCATCAAAGCTGCCAGGCTTCTTCTCATTTTCAGCTACAGCAAGAAAGCTGCTGACAAAGACACAGAGGCTGCATTTCGCCTCCAATCAGTTAGAATGATGTGGGATGACCTAAATTACAGCTGAGTCTGCTGAAACTCATGAAAAATGTATCTCTGCATCTCCACCCGAGTCTAATTTAGCTTTTGCAGATAATATATTTTATGTCACAGTTGCTTAAAACTCCTTGTGAGAAGCCTGAAAGATGCCAGGCACTGGAAATGAATGACAACTTTGATATTTCCAGAGGTGAATGATTTATATTTTCAACTTTTTGTCAATTTGATGGGGATTGTTTATGGAGTTTATGGAGTGGGGATGATCAAGAAAGTAAGTCATTCAATTCAGTTTCATTTGTATATTGCAGAGTCACAACAACAGTCGCCTGAATGCAAAATTCCTTTTTAACAGGAAGAAAGCTCCAGAAGCCATCTGCCGTGACTGGTTGGGGGATGATCTCAGTTTGGATGCAAATAATCAGAATAAAGAAATTCAGGCAACCCCCAAACTTCCTGTTTATAACTAAGGTGTGATGTTAACTAAGGCCATGTCCACACTAAGACGTTTTTGTTTGAAAATGCATCTTTTTCTCTCCTTTGACTCTT